CCTTATTGTCGCTATAATCAGCAGCGTACAGAAAGACTACAACTAATTCCCATACAACACTTTGTAGTAACAAGTTTAAAATACACAACTTAAAATATGCGACTGTAAATTTTATACCTATAAAGTCACCGTAGATATGGCTTATTACTAAATTCTCCAATTTAACTTTTAACAGTAGCAAAATATTGTAACTGAAACTTTTTCAACAACTGTTTACCTGAATTACAATACCTACAGATTGAGAGGAAACTCCATATTGCCCTCCCCCTTTTTTTAAATTTACTGTAATATTTCCAACACCAAAATATTTTAACTGGCACATCATGTGAACTGACATGGCACAGTAAAATCAAATGAGAAAGAAGAAGAGATGTAACCATATACCTTCTTCAGGATCTAGCCACAAGCTTCTGGGCCACTCACTAAAATATGACCATATATACTCAGTCTTCATATTCAGAAACCAAGGTGTGTTTCTGTGATTGGTTAGCCAACAGAACAGAGCAACAAAGCCTAAAATGAAATGTCCACACATGTTCTTTTACAGCTACAGAAAAATATCGGGTAAGTTCACCGAGTTAATCTTCCCCAGTCACACAGGAAGTCAGTGTCATGGTTAAGAACACTTAACAGAGAACTTGACTGCTTCAATTCAACTCCACCCCAGCCCGTATTAGCTGTGTGATCTTGGGCAAGTCAGCCCCAGTTACTTAAGCTCTTGGTGCCTTGGTTTCCTCATCTGTGAAATGACAATCATATCTAACACAGAGTGGCTGAAGGATCAAACACAGCATATACAGAGTTTGGTACTATCTGGGGTACTGGGGCTCCACGGGGGTCTTGGGACATATTGCCCCCAGGAATAAGGAGGAATGACTATATGTGAATTTACTAGGAAAGGGTACACACACACACACCCCCACTGCATGCAACATATTCACCAATATTAACTTTTTCTAGTTTCTCCTAATTGACAAATTGTCATCTCTGAACACCGTAGCTGAAAATCAAAATCACTGTATATTTTCTTGTTCCTATTTTTCAGCTAGACTTTCAGAGTCACAAAGATCTTATTTTTTCTTTCACCACCCAAGCTCATACCCCCTCCGATGGGGTAAGATATTAACATTAGGCTGTAATCCATGCTTAGTTCTAGTTCTCAGAAAGTCTCTATGACAAAGACACAGCAACTCACAGGGAACCAAAAGAGCACGGAAATTTCCAAGAGCAGCAGGGAAAGAAAAGTAGAAATTATTATCGCTAGACCTACTACTTCACAGGTTCCTTGTTATATTCAGGACTCCTGGTACCCCCCAGTACATTCTTTGCCTTATATAAATTAAGTGAAATATTTTATTTAAAAAATTCTTGCCTAGAATTTTCTGCCCAAGTTGGATAAAGTTCACATATTTCATACTTTATTCTGAAACTTTGGTATGTAAACTATGTTTCCAACTTGAAGTTCTGTAAGTCAAATAGTAATGTTAATAATGTATTAAAGAATGTAAAAGATAATGAAGTAATGTATAAACACCAGAACTGAATTTATTTGCGTTATGAATGAACCCTGACATAATGGCTTCTTTCATTCAAGAAAAACAGGCAAATTAATGTGCAAGGTTTCTACAGTCAACAAAAAACACAACAACCTATACACCTATATATTTAGGCCTAATTTTCTGTCAATAAATTTTTTTAAATATTCATTTATTTATGCATACAGGAGCTGGGGTACAGGCCAGAGGTGTGGGGGGTGAGAGGATTCACCAAAGACAGAGTGGTGAACAGAACAGGCAGAATGACTGTAATACACTGCTGAGGGGAGCAGAGGGCCAGACAGGAGAGGTCTGCTGCGCCATGTGGGTAGCTCCCTGGCTGGCTGGGTATGGGGATCGAATGCGTGCTGCAGAGGCTGCGGACAGTTTCGCAGACTGCATCTTAACCCTTGCGCCACCAAGGAGGCCCACTGTCAATAAATTAAACTTTACAATAAAAAGCAATACAAAGCATGTTTCTAAGGGTTAAAAAAAAGAGAAACATTCACTAACTGACAGATTCCATTTACGAAATTAAGTTTAAAAACTTCAAGAGGGGGCCTCCCTGGTGGCACAGGGGCTAAAGTCTCTAAAGTCTCAGCGCTATCAAGCTATCCACAGCCACTGCAGCCGGAGTTCAATCCCAGAGAGGGAGCTGACCCACATGGCGTAGCAAACATCTTCTGTCTCACCCGCTGCTCCCCTCAGCAGTGTGTTTCAGTGGATCCACCTGTTCTGCTCTGTCTGGTAAGTCCTCTCACATATACACACCCCCCCACACCTCTGGCCTAGACTCCAGTTCTTGTATGCATAAATAAAATGTTAAAAAAAAAAAACTTCAAGGGCTACAATATAAAAACAAAGACAACTATATACCATCAGTTTAATTTAAAAAAAAAAAATCAATCTCCTAGCTTGAGAAAAATTATTAGTCAAAGCAAAACAAACAGCCCAGTAATAAAGAATGCAGAATGAAGATGAAGCTACAGAGACATCACCTACAGGCGTCGGGATGGCCTGGGGAAATTGCCTCACCATCTCCATGAAGTAATAATGGCTAATTTTGACCTAGTCACAGAGTCTAATTTCTGACCCAGCCACAATTTAAACTGTGACTAATAGGAGCGACAACAGACTAATAAGAGAGCACAGTTTATCCCAATGTTCAACACTTTGCCATATTACCTATTTGTAAAGAGACAAAATGTTTCCATTAATTTACCCTATTAAATACTTGCTCAGAGCAACAAGTACTTAAGATACACCAAGTAAGCCACATCTTAAATGTAATTCGGCTCATCTACATACACAAGAAAAATCACACAACTGAAACTGACTGCATTTTATATAATTTCCACAGATTTAAAAATGGCCCAAGTGCCTATGAAAGGTGGGACCAGCAGGAAAACACCAAGGCTTTCTAAGTCTTATGACTAGGTGGAATAGAAAATCAATCAGTAAACTGGCGAGGTAGGTGAGACTGCAATGAGTATGATTTTTGTAGGCCTCAGCAGGGATACCTCAATCAGAACAAATATTAATCAGCTGCTAAAAAAAATCCTTGATAAAAAAGATTTCTAAATGACAAAGCTATGGACAATAAAGCATTAAAAATACCAGAAGCCTTCATTTTCACTAAAAATAAGCATTTTTGTGCTATTACACATACATACATCCTCAAACTATTACAGTTTGAAGCTGGCTTTCCACTTTCACACACTTGATGCTTTTACGCTCACAACTCCCCAACTTACATGTGCATTCACTTCACCCAGGGACCTGCACTGGAGCAAACACTATAGTGTATCACTGGGAATCATGCTCCTTAAGAGTTTACACTGAACAAGGTATAGAACCATATCTTATATAACTGAAGAACGCCTGGCACAACAATCTAAACCCTATCAAGGGCTATAACTATTTACTGACTCAAAACAGTCCAACACTTTGTCCTTCGGTGCTGTGCTGTTGAAACAAACCACACAGGTTTGCAAAATCCAAAGACCCTAAACGTTACTGAAACTTCACAGAACACACTACCATTACTGGTCAGAGGTTTTACTCTCGGCCTTACTGCCAACTCTAATGAGTTTTGGTGACGCTGTGGTGGGCTGTGCGGTGGGTAGTTGAGCACGTTCAGTGAAAGGTGGGCGTAAGACCCCACTCGCACTGCAAGGGCTTTAAGCTAAAATTTTACGTATTTATGTGGCACTAATGTTGTGAAATCACTTCACTGGAGCAGCAACTTAAGGAGACAGTTTCGCAGTCAACCTCATTTCTAAGAACAAATGAAAACTGTTACCAATGAAATGAACAAGTAACCACACTGCCTTAAACAACGTAAGGATAGCTTACATCAACGTAACAAAATATAAGCCTTTTGTATTTCAACACGCCTTCGCCAGACTAGTTTCTGATACTACGGTTTGGAAAGTCAATAGCTAAACCTGTACCGAGATCATAAACTACCAGTAAGACACAAAAACATCTGGCGACCATACTCCACAACTGGTTCCTCGGTTTTCTAGCTGTTAATATACGCCATTTCGTCCCCAACGACATCACCTGGATGTGACAGTCCTAAAAAAGAGCAAGATGGTTACAGGATGTTCCGAAATCCTGGCCCAGCAAAGCCAGTGAGAAGCAGACACCCTCTCCCGCGAGCAGCAGCTACCAGCTCTCTGCCCTGGGCCCAGCTTTCTTCCCAAGTCTGAAATGTCGCCTGAGCTCACGAGAGAGCCCGCGGTGCGGACACCTGGAGGAGACGCACTCGGAGACGGTCGGGCCAGTTGCTGCCGCGCCTGGACCAGGCTGACTCTGAGTCTTCCCGACGCCGGCCCGGCGCAGCGTGCGCGAAGCAGAATGAATGGGCCGCGCGGGCCGGTCCCGCCGGGTCCACGAGCCTCGCTCCTCCCCTTCCCCCGGGATGGCCGCCCCGGCGCGGGGGGCGCGACAACGTGCTCCGCTCGCCGCCATCCGCGCGCGCCGCGCGGCGACCTGCAGCCGCCAGCCCGCGGGCCCCGGCGCCGGCGCGCGCTCCCCCCCGCCCGCGAGGCCGCCCCGCGCCGCGCCCGCCCAGCCCGGCCCACGCCCGGCGCGCGGAGGGCCCGAGGGCCGCGCCGCCCCGCGCTCCGCCGCCCCCCGCCCCGCGCCCGCCGCCGGGGAGGACGGGCCGAGCGGCGGCCGGGCCCCCACCCCACCGCGCCGCGGGAGCCGCCCTCGGCCCGCCCGGCCGGCGCCCGCCCGCGCGCCCGGCCCGGCCCGCAGCCCCCTCCCCCCGCGGACCCCGAGCGCGCCCCACGCCGCCGCCCGGCCCGGCGCCCCCGCCGCCCGCGGGAGGCCGGGCCCGGAGGGGGCCGGCCGGGGGCGGCGTGCGCGCCGGAGCGCCGTGCCGCGGGGTCCCCCGGTCCAGAGGGGGCCGGGGCGCGGGCGCCGAGGGGGGTGGGGGCCGAAGGCCGTGCTCACCGGTTCCACGGTCGCCATCTTAGATCGATCTGCCCGCACAACCGCTCCTGAGGGGGCGAGGGGGAAGGCGAGGCTCGAACCCGATTGGCCGCCGCCGTCCACGTGACGGCCGTGTCCGTTTGGCCCGGGGCGCCTGCGCGAGACTGCGGCTGCGTGGGCGCCCGGGGGCTTCTGGGAAGTGGAGTCTCTCTTTTTTAAGGGCAAAGGCGTTTGAAAGGAGGCCGGTCACGTGGCCCCGGGTGCGCGGGGCGGCGGGCGGCGGGCGCGGGCGCGGGCGGCCTCGGAGCGCCGGGCGGTGTGGCCCGCGCCCCGCATGGCGCCGCTCAGCACGCGCGGGGCCCCATCACCCCGCGCCCGGCCGGCCGCCGGCGCGCAGCATCCCCGGCCCGGCCGCCGCCGCCGCTCCCGCTCCCCGCGCGCGGGCCTAGCTGGCGGCCATGCCACGCGCCGGCGGCCTGGCTGGGCGAGCGGGCGGGGCGGGCGGGGGTCGCGCCTGCGAGGGCTGCGGCTCGGCGGGGGCGCCTTCGGCTGCGGAGGGAGCGTGGCCGACGCGCGTCCGCGCTCACGGGCGGGAGTCCAGGCCGAGCCGCGGACCCCGCGCGGGCCGTCCAGCCGGCGCCGGCCTCTGTGACTCATCGTCCTTGGCGGTGACCTCAGCGCCGCGCCCCCGCGGTGATGCTGCGCCCACCTCACAGGCCCGGCCGCGCCGCCGCGCCCAGCCCCGAGCCCGCCGCGGCGCGGCTGGGAACCCCACGCCGCGTGCTCCTCGGGGGCGCCCCGCCCCCAGGCCCCCAACCCGCCTGCTGGAAGGCGGGCCCCGCGCGCGCCCCCCGGACGCCGGCGGTCACCCCGCGGGCCGCGCGGCCTGCAGCCTGGTTGCTGACGCGACGGCATCGCGCGGCCGCGGCTCCAGGTGCTAACGAGGAAGACGCCCTGGCATCGCTATGAGTGTCGCGCGGCCCAGGAATGGAACGCCGGGAAGCAGGCCGGGCGGGCTGCCTCTGCGGCCTGCTCCGCGCTGCGGGGCCAGAGCTGGGTCAGGCCTGTTATTGAGTCCATGATGGTTGCTGGCGTGGACCAACTCATAATCGAGGCTGTTTAAGAGCGCAGAGCCACTGCCTGTTCCTCTGTTTTTGTTTACCTGGATGTCAGAGGTGATTAACAGCCGCTTTGAACCTGTCAGCTTCGTTGCAGTAGGTTTAGGGTGGACGGAACGCTCAAAGGGTAAACGTGGATTTCGACTCAGAAACTCCTGTCACCAAGTATCAAACGGCAACCGATTTTCTGTTGCCTCCAGTAGTGTTTTCTGTTGGTTACCTGTGACATCTGGTTATCCTCGGGGAGGAGATAGCATAGAGCTACTATTTTCACAAGAATTAGGGAGCTTTTAGCCCTTACTTGGGTCTGAACGCCAGTGATGTTCTTTACAACTTTTTCATGATAGCGTCCCTGTCTTACTAACTCCTCTTCATCAAGAAATTCCACTTTTGGGCCTCCCCTGGTGGCGCAGCGGTTGAGCACTGGGCTGCGAAGCTGCCCGCAGCCTCTGCAGCGCCCGTTCGATCCCCGGCCACCGGCGAGGGTCGCACATGGCGCGCAGACCTCTCCTGCCGCACCCCTGCTCCCTCAGCAGTGTATTTCGTCCGTCTGCCTGCTCTGCTCCCCGCTCTGGCTCTGGTGAATCCTCTCACCCTCCCACGCTTCTGACTGGACCCAGTGCTTGTACAAATAAATAAATCTTTAAACAAAAGAGAAATTCCCCACTTTTGTCAAGCACCCGAGTACTTGTACAAGACTGACCTTCCCTCCTGCTCCTGGTGGTTTCACATCACTCCATGTTGTATACACTTTGTTGTGTTTTTTATGGAACTTTCAAATGCCTGCCTCATATCACAATCAGATTCTAAGATGTTTGGTAATTAGGTTTTTATCTTTGTGTGTATGTCACTTTTGTTTTTGCTAATTTGAAATAAAGCAGAAATTTTATACTTTATTTCTCTAGTGACAAAGTATGTTTGTTACTAGTATATTTGTGCTTATACTTAAAGCATAATAACATGAAATAGGTATATTGTTAAAATATTACTCTATCAAGTTATGTCATGAATATATAACTACTTACGGCCCAGCACTGAATCATGGTGATGATTATATATCAGGAAATGGTTCATTATCATTAACATCTGCAAATAGTCATGACCTCTTCTCTGCATAGCATATTCCTCAAGCTGATGTATTATTAGACACCTCTTTGTGGAAGTTTCCTGCATAATCATGGTCATTTTTCTGTTGGACATTGTTCAACTATATTTCAAACTGATCATATCCACTATCATTTCCACTATGATCAATCCTTCAGTAATAGTACTGTGACTGCCTGGGATTAAAAAAAAAAATAGACCTTGAAATTTTAGTCTACTTAGATGAGATGCCTTTTTATTCTCTAATCAGTACTAAGCAGTTTTCTTAAATGAGTAGTTTTTGAGGTAGAAGATAAGAAATTTCATAATAAGGGCCTCCCTGGTGGCACAATGGTTAAAGTCAACACTATCAAGCTATTTCCAGCCACTGCAACCTGAGTTAGGTCCTCAGCAGTGTGTTTCAGTAGATCCGCCTGTTCTGCTCCCCACTCTGTCTCTGATGAGTCCTGTCACCTCCTGCACCTCTGGCCTACACCCCGGTTCTTGTATGCATAAATAAATTTTTAAAAAAAACTAACAGCAGATTTTTTAAATTAGCATTGGGCTTGTGCACACTTTAAACTTGGTTATGCTTATTCTTTAGGATCACATTTTTTTCGGTGTTATTGTCTGTTTCTACAATAATGTTTCTTTAGTAAAGATTGAAGATGAGGGTCCTCCCCTGGTGGCGCAAGCAGTTGAGCGCCATGCTGTGAAGCTGTCTGCAGCCTCTGCAGCACCGGTTCGATCCCAGCCGGCCGGCGAGGGTCCCACATGGCGTGGCAGACCTCTCCTGTCTCACCCGCTGCTCCCCTCAGCAGTATATTTCGTCAGCCTGCCTCTTCTGTTCCCCGCTCTGTCTCTGGTGAATCCTCTCACCCTCCCACGCATCTGGCATAAATAAATAAATCTTTTAAAATAAATAATCTTTTAATTAAATAATTATAGTTGTGTAGTTCAGTATTTCAGAACATGAACTCTGATGACAAATTATCATGGTTCCTAACCCCAATTCTACTTGTTGTGTGCCTCATTTTTGTCTAACATTAAATGGGCATAATAACAGTACTTATATGGTTATTGCAAGAAATATATGAGTTAACCCATGTAATATGTGTGCTTAGAATAGTTCTTAGATCATACACTAAATGTTAACTATAATTACTATGATGTGATGTTAGACTAGCATTTCTTATTTCTCCTTTTTTTTTAAGATTGATTTATGTATGCATACAAGTACTGGGTCACAGACCAGAGGTGTGGGGGGTGAGATGATTCACCAGAGACAGAGGGGGGAACAGAACAGGCAGACTGAAATACACTGCTGAGGGGAGCAGCGGGCAAGTCAGGTGAGGTCTACTGCTCTATGTGGGGAGCTCTCTGGCCGGCCGGGGATCGAACTCATGCTACAGAGAGTGCAGATAGCTTCAAAGGCTGTGTCCTAATCCCTTGCACCTCCAGGGAGGCCCTCTAATTTCTACTTTTTAGTATAATATGCTTAAGATTATTTTGCACTGGAAACTATCTCCAATCCATTATCTTTAAAGATATGTCAAGCTTTGAAATTTAGCTAACCTTTTTTTTTTTAAAGATTTATTTATTTAATTTGGCTTAAAAGACCTGGGGTGTAGGCCACAGGTAAGGGTAGTGAGAGGACTTAACAGAGATAGAGTGGGGAGCAGAACAGGTGGATCCACTGAAATCCACTGTTGAGGGGAGTCTTGGGGAGACAGGAAAGGTCTGCTGTGCCCTGTGGGTCAGCTCACTGGCCAGGGATCGAACACTATCACAGGGGTAGAGCTGAGATTTTTTTTTTTTTTTTTTTTTTTATATAGAGGCATGTTTTCTTTCTTTCTTTCTTTATTTGTTTGTTTTTGTTTATACATGCACTGGGTACAGTCAGAAGCGTGGGAGGGTGAGAGAATTCACCAGAGCCAGAGCAGGGAGCAGAGCAGGCAGAAGGACCGAAGTACACCGCTGAGGGGAGCAGCGGGCGGCAGGAGAGGTCTGCGCACCATGTGGGACACTCCTCCGGTGGCCGGGGAGCAGCCGGGGATCGAACCGTCGCCGCAGAGGCCGCGGGCAGCTTCGCAACCCAGCGCTCAACCGCTGCGCCACCGGGGAGGCCCAGAGCTGAGATTTTAACCCCTAGGCCACAAGTGAGGTCCCTCAGCTAAGCTTTTTTGATTTCTTTAACACCAAGTATTTTTCATATCTATTATTTCTTTTGGCCTTTACAACTATAACAAGAATGAAACATCCTCCCCATTTTAAATGAGAACAAAGAAACTCAGAAACAGTGGTCACATGCAGTAGCCGGTGGAGAGCTGAATTCAAGCCCATTCTCTCGATCCAGCCGTTCTTTCCTCTGTGCTGTGGCTGCTTTTCCTCTGAAAGGAAATACCTATTTCTCTTCAAAGGGCTTGGAGTACTGAGTTCATATACAGAACTGACCCAAAAGTCAAGAAGTCCTAGGTCATAATGGGAAATGTGTAATCGCTGAAGGATATTTAAACTATGTGGGAAGCCCAGGCACTTCCTTTCTGGACCGTAAAGTCTGATTGGCATCCTCAGTCATAGGAATATAAATAGTTTAGTGCGCATATAAAGAATCTGTGCAACTGCGAAGCAAAGAATGCAACTCGCAAGCTCTATCACAAGCCCTTACTGACCTCATGAATGAGACCGGCCCTCCTTCAGATCTCCTTGCCAAGGGCTGTGAGGGAAGCCTTCCTGGACCACCCTCACTAAATTAGCATGCCATTACTCTTTCCCCCACCCTATGTTATTTTTATTCAAACCACTTCACAATCCTAGTTCTAAACACTATTAAATTGTTGATTGTCTCCACTAGAAAGGTGATAGTAACCTATAGGTACGTTGCTAACAATTATTTGGGGAAAACCCAAATCTAATTTGAAAAATTGCACCAAAGTCTAGCCTTGGGACGAATAAAGGAACTAATATGAAAATTGCTATGTGACAGCCACAGTGCTGGGCAGGT